ATACACTGATTTCCATGATTTTTGCATTCCTTATAATATTTGTTTATACATTTCCTGTGGTGTAGGCATGAATTATAACAAATATTACATTATAGATCCTCAACTGGTTGTGTTAGAGCTTGACAAATGCCCATCTGCAGCCCCCCCCCCCCCCTTTTCATATTTGTGAGACATGATGCTCTGAAATTTGTTAGTTGATATTTTCAAAAAATTAAATAAAAATATCATATTATTCAATATGAATTTATCTTAACAACTTAATCTATACCAAATTAATTTTAAAATAAAAGACTGGCCATCAAATGAAATATGCTATAAACTGACCAGCAGTTCTTCTGTTTAATTCCCAAAGGATACAGATAAGAAGTGCTTGATCAGATATGCTCTAACAGAAATGATTGAGACAGCTAGCCTTCCTACACTGAACTCATTAATTAATCTTTAACTGGATGCATGTCCACTCATTACTCCCAAGGGATGAATGGATCTGCGCTATCTGCTTTGTAGTGCAATTAAAATGCATATTTATGTCATACTGAAATTAAATTTGAAAACAAAGATTTTTTTTTCAATTTGTTACAAAGATTTATAAAAAGAAAAAAAAATGTAATCTTGATGCAACATTTTTAATAAGGTTTCTGCTTGACTCTTACATTTGTAGGGACTATCTACCATAATTAAAACTTTTTTTTAAAATACTTGATTTTTTTTTTTAGACTCAATGTCAGACTGGTTTTAAGCTGCAATTCATATGGAGAACCGGCATGCTAATTCCAATATCACCCCCCCCCCCCCATTCCGAGTATAATTAGTTTTAATTCATTAGTTTAATATAAGATATCAAATTAGTTTAAATAATACATATAATACAATATCAAATTAGTTTTAATTACTTTTCACCAAATTCATTTTAAAAGTTAGGCTAGCCCACAAAAACTATGTAATCCAACATGGCTGATTCCTCTGCCCAATTCCCAAGAGATATAGATAACACCTGCTTGATCAGAGATGCTCTACCAGTTAGCTCCTCACACTAAACTCATTAATTTCTCTCTAATTTGACATGCAATTTTCTGTTATCAAAATTCTCCTTGACCAGTGCTTGATAATTACACCCATGGGAGAGGTGGAATTTCTCTTGTAACATTATATTTGTTATAGATTGCTGTAAAGTATATAATGAAAAAAAATAAGTATTTTCTTGATTTTAACATTTTTTTAATAAGGATACTGCAACACTTTTACATTTTTGGGGATTGTGTAATATAATAGTAAAAAGACAGTTTTTTTTAAAATTTCACTTAAATTAAAGGTCACAGTGACCTTGAAATTGATCACGACACACCTTCTACCTAAGATGCATAAACTGGCCAAGTTTGACGATTCTAAGTCTAATAGTTTTCTAGTTATGAGCCGGACAGGATTTTTCCATATTTGGCCATAGCATCTTAATTAAAGGTCAGAACGACCTACTTTTTGTGCGCGACACACCGTCTACCCAAGAAGTATCAGCTGACAAAGTTTGATAATCCTAGGCCTAATAGTATTAAAGTTATGAGCCGGACACGAGAAAAGCTAACAGACAGACAGACGGACGGACATGAACGCCATAACATAATACGTCCCGTCTAAAGACGGGCGTATAAAAAAACTTGATTCTACACTACATGAGGATGTTTCCATATAAATATGACTGATCAAGGCTTTGCTGCTCTTGAAAAAAATATTTTTTCTATACATTCCTATGTACATGTAAAACTTAATGTTCCCAAGGAGGAGATTTTTAAAAGATATTTTTCATATACAGTTGAACTTCAGTATCTTGAACATTGATATCTTGGATACCATGGATAATTGGATGACAATGAAAATTCTGTAACGAATTGCACATCACCCAATCTACATGTACAGGACACCACAAATAATATTCCAAAAGATGATTTGACTTCTGCTTAAAATGTGAGAGGAGTTTTGAAAACCATGATTTTACAAAGAATCCTTCATCACCACATTTGAATGAAAATTAACTTAAAACTCTGAAACTTACACCTCTACAGGACAGCAATTATATTCCAAAAGATAAAGTGGTTACCACTTTTAAAAAAATGTAAGAGGAGTTCAGGGAACAAGTTTTTCTATGTTTTTACAAAAATGTTGTTTCTCAACAGTTTAACCCAGGATGAAAATGAAAATTCATAACCCTTTAAAATCTACGAGGTACCACCAATCAAGCTTATTACGAAACATGATAAAACTACTGCTTAAAATGCGAGAGGAGTTCTTCGCATATGACTTTTGTAGAAAAACGCTTTTTGACACACGCTTAGCCCCAATATTTAAAATTAAAACATATGTATAAGACACCACTAATCATATTCCAAAGAGATGAATTGACTACTGCTTAAGGAGTTGGAGGAGAAAGGTAGTGTGCCAGACGAACAGATGGACCAGGAAAATCTGAACCTTTTCTAAAAATTGCATGTATAAAATTCCACTTCACCATGTAAATGCATATCTGCATATAGCATGAAAACGAAGTTGATATATGAAGGAGAGAGGAAGGCAATAATTATTTATCTCAGGTGCTCTATGTTTAGAAGAAATTCAAAATATAGTCCAGTACACAGGTACACAACCCACGGCCCACACAGGACTGTCGGATTCACTGCCCCTTACTTGAATGTTTACTAAACATTTAGTAATAATTTAGAGCATTTATAGCATAAACATATAAGCATACGTATGTTTTTATGTCTCTGTTTATGAATTATTGCACTTACACAAATTTATAAGTTCTCGTACTGGTAGCTGACACTCACAATCAACTGTTCAGAGTTTTTCGGAACTTCGAACCCGATCATAAAAAAAGTGAACCAATAAACATTTATTTCCAATCAAGGGCCCCCAGAGAGGCATGAAAGATACATTAGTAGACAAAGGCAGTAATTTTCAATAAGGAGATAAATTTGAAAAAAAAAATTAAAAGTAAAATACATACAAAGCAAGTTGTTGTGCTTTACAGTGTCATATTAAATGATTAGAGAGGTTAGTTTCCAAGTTGAAGTAAAACATTCATATTTTCACATGTAATGATTCAAGAATATTTTTGAGAACTATCTAAGTTATTAAAATTTTTATTATGTTTCTGTGCTTTATTTAGAAGTTTGGTTCTTTTTTCTTTGTAAAAAGGACAATCTATGATAAAATGTATTTCATTTTTCCACTACATTCAAATTACATTTTTCACATATTCTTTTATCTCTTTTTAATCCAATATGTCTACCAGTTTCAATTTTAAGGTCAGACGATACGTTCCTCAAATATCTGTTTTGTGTATCTTCAAAATGTATGAAAAATATTCAAAATTTTAACTACCTTCTGATTTCTAAACCAGTTTCTAAACGTCTTTAAAAAGTCCAAACACTAAAAAAATTGATATTGTTAAATTATTTTTTTCCCCAAAAGGATTATATAAGAAAAACTACCTCTGGTATCTTGCACAAATGCCTGGTAAGGTACCTCAATTTTTTGTGAGTAAACATGTTAAAGTAGCAATACTTTAATGACAAAATCTTGGAAAAAATTGTATATTATTGAGGAACGAATCGTCTGTCCTTAAGCCTATGAGAAGATATTTTTATCTGGTTATGCCCCTTCTTAAGTCAAAGTTATTCAGTAATGTTAAATACTAGTATTCTTCATATTGGAAATTACTTTTAAGCTTTACATAAGACTGAATCCAGTTTTTACCAGATTTTTTTTTTCTTTAGAGTTTAACCAAGAGCAAATAAACTTTTCGCGGATTTGATTATTGATGACAATTTTGAATTTAGATAGACTCAAAGAGGAGGCATTTTTTATATGTATCTGACGTTTTCCCGACTTTTTAAAAACGATTTTTGATAATGGACGTGCCAGGAAAACGTCAAATATCAAAATCGTTAAAAAAGACATGAATCGTCAGATGACTGCAAGAAATGCATTCATTTCTTGTTAAAACTAGAGGTATTACGTGAGCACTGAGCTCACTAAATGATACCCCCGCCTCGAATATACATGTAATTATAATAGCAGAGTTCATGTTTTGCTATGGGAGACCCGAAATAAGTGTCAGATCAAAAAGTAAAATAGGAGGACACAATGACACTATGTATGTGTAATAAAGATTCTGTGAAAGTATCATTAATAAATTTTATACAGTAATATAGGAGGATCGAGTTGCGGGTAAGATATAGGCGTCGGAAACAGGGAAGGTGGGGGGGGGGGGCTTAGTCCACCACTTTTTTTTTTTTTTTTTTTTTTTTTGCAAAGATAGACATTATATAGGCATTGATAATTGGGGTTTAGTCCCCCCAAACGTTGTTGATTTAGCCACCCCCACAATCTTTCAATTCGCTTCCGACGTCTATGTAAAAGATGGATTCCCCTCAATATTATAGAAAAAGGCAGTGTCTATGTTTTGCTATTGGAAACCCAAAATATGAGTCCGATCAAAAAGTAAAATAGATTAAGGTGCACAATGGCACTATGTAATAAAGATTCTGTGAAAGACGTACGGACACTCCCATCAATTAAAAGCTAATATAGGAATTATTCACGTTTATCGATTGCAGCAGCAAACAAAGAAATAAAATCATACATTTTACATAATTATTATCATACTGAAAGATTGATATCATATAGTTGTACATATTTCTTATAAATTGACAAGCACATGTACATGTACGTGACGTACAGTAAATAGTTCTGTCATTCATTTCAAACGAAGTCAAAACAAAAATGTAAGAATTTATATATGAATATTGTTTATTTTTTTCAATGTGACAAATTAATCAGACAAATGCTTTAAATAGTATTCACAGTATAAACATATATAATATGTGAAATCGAAAACTTTGCGCATGCTTACTCTCACTCTGTCAATTCAAAAACTGTCAAGCAAATATTTTAAATCCAATGAATTTGGATTTTCCATATATAGATTATTAAACAGCCTAGATGATTTTGAAGCAAATTTAGGAAAAGTAAATTTTAATAAATGCCAAATCTCCATTTCGGTGCGTCTGGTCCATTCGGACTTCCATCATAGAAATCATATCGCTCGGCTCCAGCCAACAGTTTGGCTTCTTGTTTTCTTGCAACGTCTGGTAAATAATCAATGCTGATATTTGCTTGCTTTTTCCAGTTTCCAACTTTATATTCCTTGAATGTTTTCAGCCCCTGAGATGACCAGTGTGAAGTAAGAAGCATCCGCCTGTATACATCTTGTTTGAACTCCATGTCTTTTTCACTCGCCCAGATGGCAGGCGTCATACTTACAAAGACAACAAAGCGCCACCTGTCGTGGTTCGGTCTCTCCGAGACCGGCGGAGTATTATCGTGAACCGTCCGTGAATCCCATAAAACTATCCCTCCTTTCGGCACCGGAACACAGTCGAAAGTGCACCCCTTTTTAAAGTAAAAATCTTTCTCTGTGTTGTTTAATTTATAAAAATCAGTACGCTCTGTTTTAGTTACTGCATTTGGAAACGTCTTGAAGAATTCCGAGTGGTAAAGATGAGATTTCGAGAGTACCCGAAAGCAGTAATCATCCTTTGTTTGTTCCTCCAGGTAAACAGCGCCTTGGTATGCGTGCAGACCCTCTCTGCGAATCCCTTGGTCCACATGCAGCCAATCCTTATGAATGTCTCGGTATTCATTTGCTGTCAATAGAAAAAAATGATATAACGTAGAGAAAAATCATATTAAAGAATCCTTTAAATATACTAAACACTGGAATAATTTAAATATAAGTATTATTCTATTTTGTTCTTCTGATTTTAAGCAATTTTTATTTGTTGACTGACAGGAATTGATAAATGAATAACGATTAATGACAAAAATATTAACAATCACATTCTTAAAATAATCTTTAAAAGTCAGTACCTTTTTCTGGTGGTTTAGAAATCGCAATCCCGTCAATGCTGGAGAGTAGTTTCTCTGTTCCCCAAACTTCCTGGAAAATTTTCTTGGCCCTCAGGCGTACCTCCCAGCTCGGCTTAAAATGACCAACCCTATAAGACTGGATAACGGAGGTTCTCTTCTGAAGTGGGATATACCCATCCTCAAACTCGCCCACCCAGTCCTTATATTGTGACGTCAAGGTATCGCATTCTTCTGAGATCAAAAGGTTAGGGACCACTACGTATCCATTTTCCTGTAGGTCCTGGCGCAGCTTGTCTCTGCATAAACATAGAAGAACGTTTGAACTGACAAGGAAAAATGGTAACAAATGATCTGGATGGTATCTAACTCACAGGTACTTGTGGACAGGACCCCCCCCCCCCCCCGAATATACCCCTGGGTCAAAAAATATGTTTATGTATTTTTTTCATAAATTATTCTTCTAGTACACATTTACAATGTATTCCATAAGAAAAATAAAAAAAAAACAACAACACAGAATTAACGTTTTACTAAAAAATCATACTCTCGGTATTATAAAATAGAGCACGGAGAGTATGATTTTTTAGTAAAACGTTAATTCTGTTTTGTTTTTGTTGTTGTTGTTGTTGTTTTTTTTTTTTTTTTTTGTTTTTTGTTGTTGTTGTTGTTTTTTTCTTATGGAATACATTGTAAATGTGTACTGGAAGAATAATTTATGAAAAAAAGACATAAAAAATATTTTTTGACCCAGGGGTATATTCGGGGGGGGGGGGGGGGGGGGTCCTGTCCACAAGTACCTGTGATTTTGCTGAACTGATTGACGCACCCTACATTAATATTTTATTTTTTTTTTCACAGTAATTTTAGAGAGAATTAAAAAATAAATTAAGCAAAATTCTTGTGATGACAATTTTTTCTCAACATTTTCTGATTATTTACATTTACAAACATTCTTAAATTCTTCACAATCAGATCATATTAATTGCACTCAATATTTGTGGTCCATGATTTCTGTTAATTTTGTTGTTGTTGTATTTATTTTTTTAATTTCATTTCTATTCCCCCCCCCCCTTTTTTTTTAAAGAATTATAAATCGTATGCATTGTTAAGAAATTAAGGTGTTCTTCGTAAGTGAAATTGAATGCATTCTTGAAATGCACCTAATATTTTTTTCACAAGATAATTTTAAATTAAGATCTAAAAAAAATGTTCAGATATTTTGTGAAAAGAGCTACACTCACTTTATATAGCTTCTTTACATGAACAAACCATTCTTTATCCTAGGCCCTATGTGTATATGTATTAAGTTTTCATTAAACTAATTTATTGAGTTGAACATGTTGAAAAGTAAATAATGTAGCATTGTTATTTAAAGCATTTTACATACCCGTCAAATTGAAGGTTTTCCCCTTTTCTCTCCAGCAAACAAGCCATTGTATACCATCAATCTTCGTAATAAACTATCTATATGAGGGCCATTCTACTTAAATATGCTCAAAAGTACTGACGAAATCATCTGGAAGTATCTATATAACGAAATTTCACAACAGCTGGTAACAAAGTATCGAATATTTAATTAGAGTTATCTTTCTTTGATTTGTTCGAGCGTTCAAAGGCCATTATAATGTGAAAGAGGGTCATGAAGGTATCACACCGGTAATTGTTTTCACTATGTAATTCTATATAGAATAAAAAATCATTAAAAATCAGGTATTCGAATTCATAAAAAAATATTTAGCAGGACGTGTTAAACGTTACCAGTCACATCAGCTGACACCAAAAAATAGGGTACCTACACTGTAAAAAATGTGTTTAGATGATAGACACATTTCTAAGCACATTCTTGTCACACTTTTTTTAATGCGTTTAAATTTTAAACATGTTGAATTTCAATACGCGTAATGGAAAGTGTTTTAAACCTAAATGCTTACATGTTTAGAGTTTAAACACAATTCTAAACAGTTAGATTCGCGTTTAGAAGCTAAACACTTCAATGTTTTAAACAAGGATCTGCAAAAAAAAACAAAAAAAAAACAGGTGTGTCCGTTTTAAGTTTTATTAACTTCTAAACATCATATTAAAATGATAAAAAAGGCCTAACACACAGTAAAGTGTTCTCACGCAGTCACTGAATCTTTGTTCGGTAGAATTCCTTTTACTTGTGAATGGTTTCCATTGTTTGTTACAAAGTCTTTTAGAAGTTTTGACATATAAAATTATCTGGCATCTAAAGAGTTAGTAACATCCAAGTTGTTGAATTGTCTGCATTTTGTACCAGTAGCACAATACAAAGTAAATATATATGTAAAAGACTCCAGCTATGGTGTGCCTCTTGCAGTGTGATGCAATACGGATCACTATTTCAAATCCGTCGTGATGTAAACAAAGCAGCAGAGTATCTGGGTAATCTTGAAGGTATTTTCTACGGCAGTATAATTCACATCCATTATCAGAAATGAATTTTGTTCTTTCTCTCGGCTATCCAATTAAGTTAACCTGTAATTAAGAAAGGACGTACGTTGCATTAAGTAACAGTATGCGCTCCTTACTGAACATGCTGAAGTTTTACGTTAATTACTAAGCATATAATAAAAATGTTTAAATAAATATTATTGCAACTATAGATTCAATATTTACTCTCATTAATGAATTAATGATATGACACCGAAAGACATCCTTGATATAAAGTGCAATGTTATTTACTTTGCTCATCATGTTTATTTTATATAGAAACAAAAGCATACATACCCTATAGCAATAACAATGAGCCTTTCACATGTTTTTGACTATTTCTGCGGTGGTTGGTACTCAAGTTCTCATTAGCTTTCTTGAAAACATCGTTTACTGTTTTGTTGTGATTTTCTTTGTTTCGACAACCGCGCTTATTAACGTTCAAATATGTATCATTTCCGGGAAGATAACTCTGCACATGACCGAATATAAAACAAAAAAACATGTTTAATATCTAAACGTGTATAGATTTTAAATATATTTAGACATAAGTGTTTTGTTGTTAAACACAATATCAAACACGTTTAGATCTAAACACGTAATGGAAGTGTCTTTTTCCTAAGCACATTTTTTACAGTGTACACGGCATTTTCTGATTTTTTCCATCCGCAAACAGGAATACCCTCAAAACCACGTGTATTCAATGTGTTTATAAACATCCTGTGTACACCCCAGGAAGTGGCCTCCTATGCCCCGAAAGAAATAGTTCCTGTCAAAAACCTTTAATATTTTACAAAGTACATAAAATATCCTAAGCACAGATACCAAAAATGTAAAAATAGAATAAGGGAAATTAAAAAAATTTCTCACATTAAAAATTTATTTCTTTATTATGTATGGAACCTTCCTAAGACTAAAATCTTTGACAAGCCCCTTTGGGGCTTAAATAATAAAAATTATTTGAGTACTTTATGGATATGCATTTGATAAAAAATAAAGAATATGTTTATCTATAAAAAAAATACCTACACTAGAGACTCAAATTATTTCATATATATCTTTAATAACATTCTAACTATTTATCTGACTGACTGGGTAAATACAGAATTTAACCAGAAAAATTGTTCAGTTTACATTCACCAGCAAACTAAAGAGCAATTTCATTAAATCAAACTTAAATATTTAAATTTTAAAAGTTTCCATCATCTTTCATCAACACTCGATGAACTGGCTGTAAAATAGCCTAATGTTAAGAAGTATTAAGTGCTATAAAATATATGAATACTTTATGAAGCTTGGATTATAGCGAAAGAAATAGTTTAAAGTATATCCTAGTAAATGCATATTACGCCATGTCGATGATAATGCATTTTCCTGAGTAAAGCTGGTGTTTGCGGGAGGGGGAGGGGGTGTCAAAATTTGAGTGCACTTCGTAGTGATGTAAAATTCATTAATGATATAGTTTGCATAAAATTATGAATAAGAATTATATAGTGTTCCCAGAAATTATTGAGAATTTATTTTATGATAAATTTCTCTAAAATGTTGGATTAATTACTTACATTATAAATTAATGTTACTATTTTATTTAGTAACAATACCCCGTACTTTCTAATGATACATGCAGTTTTCATGGATAACCTCCCATTTATTTAATAAACTTCCTGTTGTCTGCCAGTCGGTAGAGCGCTAGCTCCGTGGTCGGAAGGTCTTGTGTTCGAATCACGGCCGCGACTGACCTAAGTCGATAGAAAATATGTAGCAACTGTTCCTTCGCCAAGCGCTCGGCACTTTGAAGTGAAAGTTGCAGGTCTTTCGGATGAGACCATAAAAACCGAGGCCCCTTGGCACGATAAAGAACCCTCAACGCTCAATGGCCCTGAGTGCCGAGTAAAGGTCTAAATTTGAAGCCCTTCACCGGTATATGGTGACGTTTCTATATGAGTGAAAAATTCTCGAACGGGACTTAAACCAATATACAATCAATCAATCCTGTTGTCTGCTGATGTTCAAAATTACTGCTTAATTGAGAATAAAAAGCCTATTTAACGAGGTTCGCTCCTAAACTTTTAGGCAGATTTATATCTTAACCTATATTTTTATAATTCTGCATAAAGTTTTAATTCTTACAATAAATTTGGATTCTACAATGCCAATTAAACTATATTCAGTTAAAACTCCATGATTAAATTCCATACCAAAAGCCTTAAGTGAGCAACTATATTTTGTAGCGGAAAGTTTTTTGAGAAGAAAATGATCATTTTTTTTTTGTCTTTCGAAGTGTTTAAAGTATGTTTAGTTTAGTTCCCATTTTTCAATGCAGCCTGCACACAAAGTTATTTTGTACAGTGAACTGTTTTATACTGGTCCTAAATTATATATATATATATAAAAAAACTGTCATGAATTCTATCATCATATTTCATAAATATAGCAAATATATTGTGAAAATCAAGAAAAAAATATCCCTATTTTAAGCTTAAAATTAGCACTATTTTAGTAATATCTAAAAATTAACATCACAGGCCCCCACTTTTTATTTTCTTCCCTGGATATATAAGATACTTCTTACCATTCTTCTTAAATTCAGTAAAATGTCATTACTTTCAAATTATTTTTTTGCTTGTTAAATTTTTAATGCCAGTAAAATAAAAAATTTTGAGTGCAAAAAGGTCAAATAATTGAACATGCGGAGTAATTTGAAAAATTTTTCGTTGTCACAAATTTAGATGAGTCTATTCAAGATGATATAAGGCTGTGTTTGTTCCCATAATTTATCTGAATAAAAAACATTGGAGGAAAAACTTTAAAAATTGATTTATGTGTAAGACGCATTTACAGTGCAAAAAGGTCAAACTAAATGCTCTGTAGCGCCAAAAGAAGCGCATTGACCCCCTTTTTTGTTTTGATTTTTAATTAAGCTATGTGTATAAATTCTTAAAATATACTTGATGAAAAATTCTCATTACTTTTGGTGGCAGGATCCAACCTCCTTAAGTAATTTATATATAAGTAAGGCATTGGTACATCTGGTGATATTTCTGAAACACCGAGTATTTCACCGTCCACTTTGTACATGTATTTTGTTACAAAATATTAAAAAAAAGAAGAGGAATTCAGTTAAGGTAAGTAGTATGTCATAGTAAACTAGCATTCATATATCAAATAAGGCGCGGATATTTTCTCAGTAAGAACCACACTAAGTGTAGAAAAATGTTGTTTCATTCCTAGCCTAGCACTACCAGCTGTTTCCCTCTGCCGAATTCATTTCCTTTTTTCAGTATTTTGTTCCACTTGAATCAGTAATTGACAGTGGAATACTCAGTGTTTCAGAAGTATCGCTAGTTTTGCAATTCTTTGAAACCTAATTATTACCTACAATAGACTTTTTTCTTCAAAAGACACTCATTTTGAACATTAGCAATCGACCAGAAGAATACAAAAAGGTTATTCATGAAAACTGCAAAAAGCATAAGTGTCCTTAGAAAAAAAAATTTATTTCTTACTAAATAAATATATTTTATTTTGCAAATATTTCAAAACATTTCACGAAAAAAAATCCTCTGGGAACACTATGTATTATTAATGGATAGGTTATAGTCCACTGATGAAATGAATTTTTTTTAATTCACCAAAAAAAATACAGGTACAAGGTACAGTATGTCAATAACGAATGTCTATTCAATCAAACTGAAATCACTAAAATCTATAAAATAACCAAGCCTTAATGCGCTATTTATATCAGCTTTATTTTTCTTTATGATAATATTAGCAAGTCTCTTCTTGAAATGTCGAATAGAGTCTTAGTCCATAGTTTCTTCTCCATTTACATAACTCCAATTCTGTAAAATGTCCGCTCACAGTAACAGTATGAAAATTCTAGAAATGAATTGCTTCATTTTACCACGCAAAATGCTTTGAAAAGAGCTAGGTTCACTTTATGCATAAATTGGCCCTGTATACATACCAATTTATTGACTAACACCTTATGTTCCATTTTAAACATAAAGATAAAGTAGAGACTTAGTGCTTTCATTTCCTATTAAACTTTTTCTCCTTAAAGTCCAGGTCTTGGAAAACAAGCTTTATGGAATTGCAATGTTTTTTGAATTTTAAGGAAAACAGGTATATTTAAGTACTTTCAGAGAAGAAAAATAATATGAGCGCACCCTCTGATCGAAAAAATAAAACATGTTTTGTAATCCTCAGAAACGGTTTTATCACCAAATAATTGCATATTTTGGACCAGAGACTGCGCTCTATATCAAATATCAGTTTTGCAGAAATTCACAGGGCCAAAAAAGGCCCTAAGTGAACCTTGTTCTTTCAACAACTGAAATTTTTTGTAAATACGTTCAAGTTTTATTGTCAAACTGCCACTCACCTACAATGTACGAGGGGTTATCAAAAAGTTCGTGGACTAGCGCCATAAAATTAAAACCGCTTTATACACATCAATGAATTTTGACAAATTTAGTCAGCATCATCTCTTCTCTCTATATAATAAACCATAAATCATCAGTTTCATTTTTTAATAAATTATTAATGTTTTTGTAAGCAATGGTATGCCCAGGCGGCGCAACCTCGAACATAACGTTTTTTTTCTGCCTGAGCGTAACTGAGAAAAACTCTTTTGATATGAACATTTGTCATCCAAAAATCCCGTTAATTGAGGCATGTTGTATGACATAATTCAGATAATTGTTCCGTAAAATTTGCAATTTTTACCCCATTCTGTAAATTCTATGAAAAATTATCGTAAATTTTATATGGAGCGTCTAAACAATTATAAGGGTTTGAAAATGACTTCAAAAGGGGAGGGGTTTCTTTTTCCAACATATTCTATAAGGTTTCGCCCCTTGAAAAACTGGTATAAATCTAGGAAATGTTTAAACAGGCAACGGAGAAATAAAATGCACCCAGAGTACTTGTTTTAAAAAGATTAATAAAGATGAGAGATGCACAGTTAATGTAGATTTGTAGTCAGGGTGTCAAAAGTCAGTCACGTCGAGAAGTGACGTTGATCATGTGTGGTAGATACTGAACTCTTACAAGCAAAACATACTGGCATAATCAAGTGAGGATCTTTCCCAATGTACAGTGTATAAATCTATTTACAATATTAAATGCATTGAAAACAGCTGTTCATGCCATTGTAAAGTCATATAAACAAGACGGGTTTAAGTCCTTACTTAACTCCAGATAATCTCATCAAGATAAGTGTATGAGGTAGAGGGGTTGTTGAGAAACAGTACATGCATGATGTTGTCGAACGTCATCAAACTAAACGGCGGCAGCGCCGGTTGATCATAGAATGTCTTTTTTATTTTATAATTTGGCAAATTATCAACATATCATTAGATAAGATTTTCAATTTTTTTTTAAACTTTTGTTGTTTTATGTCCCTTATAAATTTTGTAAGCACAGACTTCATAATATTAATTTTATCTCATCAGTCCACGAACTTTTTCATAACCCTTCGTAGTACAATGTATTGGGTATGGGAGATAGAAAATAAATATGCATTAAAGTGTTTGGGTCATTTGCGCTCTGTGATTGATAGAAGGCCTCATCATCAGAGATATGTGTACCACTAATACACTATATTAAGTTATATATACAGTATATATTAATTTTCACAATAAATATTCTCAATTCTTCACACAAAAATGTGAAAGGTTATGACAAAAGTACAAAATTCACTTCGAAGCAAAAAGTTAGCATTCTTAATTCGTGTTCGTTCTTCACTGAAACCCTTTTTTATTAAAAGAAGGGGGGGGGGGGCAGATGTAACACATTTAGCTCCAGTTTTTTTTTCTTGTAAAGAGTATATATGATAGACAAATGTGAGTATTGAACCTAAGATTTATCTTATAAGTAAATGTAACGTTAATTACATTTCATATTGGTTTAATCGAAGATCATCTACGTTTTTTTTTTCATTTTAAATTTTCACATTTATACACTTACTTAAATGACCTATATAAAACAACAAAATACCGGTATTATTTAGAAATGGCGAAAAGAGGAGACAAACTACACTTGCAAACAAATTTTTTTGATGAAATTTTATTCCATGATCTTTTAAAAAATAAATTAATTCAAAATGACAGAAAATAAAATCTTGATTTTAATTCAAAACTCCCTTTCAGAGAGATGTACAATTAAAGTCTCGTTGATATTCTTTCTGCTTCCGGAAGTCCGCATTTTCGGAAATTGATTGGGTCGAAATTCTCTCAGATTCCACTGAAATAAGCTGCAAATAAAAAAAGTAATGCGCAGCCATAATTAGTTGCTAAAGATTCTACAAGTAATGATTCTTAAAAATATTTTAAATTCGAGGTTTTGACCATAAGTAAAGTACCTTAATATCTGATCCTGTTTTGGACATCTGTTCGTTAATAGCGTTTTTCTCTAGTATTTTGTCGTTGAATTCTGTTAAAAGAAATATATTTAGATTAACCAATAAAGGAAACATTTTTTCTGTAAGAAATCATAAAAAATCATTTATGAATATGGTTAAATACAAAATGTAAGAATGAATTAACATTTACATATGTAAATTAAAGTACTCAATTGGTCGTCAATATAAAAAAAATGCTGAACTCAGTAATTAATAATGACGTCGAATTCCTTTCGTTTATAAAAAAAACAATTATAAAATCATTTCTGAGACTTTGGAAATATAAAAAAAAGCTGCATAAGTACGAGACAATTTTAACATGTTTGACACTTTTTTTTAATCTTAGCTTTATTTATTCTAGTTTTTTACCCGATCCGAAGTCCTCCACCGCTGACACATGGGTGGTCTTAGTGGGTTCGTTGCCAATCTTGCACGGCTTCTTATACAGATTGTTTTGCTTTGTCAAGTTTTGATTGAACCTGATTGTGTCTGTCGACTTCCTCAGCTTAATCTGTGTCATAAATTGATTTATTAAAAAATTTTTAGTGTAACTTGAAACAATTTTTTTTCCTTTCCCGTCTTATCAATTAATGCATTTAATTTGTTTTCTATTTAATTAACAACCAAATATTAATATTGACTGTTTTGTAAATTAAGAGAACATGTATATGCAAGTAATCAAATAAATATATCCCTGCAAGTTCAAGGTCATTGTGACGAATTTATTTACAATGAAGTGTGAAGATAACGTACAGTGATCATTCTAATCATTTAAACAAAATTGATGCAAACTATGAGCAGAGCCTCTAAAACAGAGGTGGGATCAGGTGCTATGGGGGAGTAACCATCCTTCGATCGGTCACACTCGTGTGTAAACGGAAAAATCTGTAGACAATTCAGTATGAATATAGGTAGGGAAGTTGACGATAGAAAAGCTGAAGTCATCAGACTTATCACAGTTTAATTGTTAGTCAGTTTACCACCAATGTCTTTCCTCCAGTAAAACATCCAAATATGAAACAGATGTGTCAGACTCTGTGGTGTCTTTTATTTCGAGTTCAATGGGATATATCGAATCAACGTAGAAATGAAACTAAATAATTATTGTTAATTGATAAAAACGTCGTCGATATACAATGTATCTAGATGTCGAATTGAAGGCCACAAGAACAATAACTGATATTCCATTTAAAACCTTGTGATGCTTTATGAATTAGAAGCAGCAATTATGTATACCAATTTATGTCAGGATTGTAACAATAAATGATTTTAGCCAGACTTGTGAAAAATTTCAAAACTATAAATATTTTTTTAGGAAAACAAATACCCAAAGAATAGATTTATTCTTTAAATCTATCAATTACAGGATCTGTATATGTTTCAGATCCAGATTTCCACTGTCAGGGGTGCAACACCCTCCCCCTTTTTTTGTACATATCCAAATTCAAAGATGAAATTAGTTTAATTCAGACTAGTATTATAGTTTGATCAATTAGCATCTATTTGATCAATTTAAGTTTGATAATTACTAGTATTATTATTTGAAACTATCCTATCAATCCTGGTGTGTTTGCATCTTCTTTTTTTTAATTTCTTAAAAAATTTAGAAACAAAACTTTAAAAAAAAACTGTTATAAATGCAAAATAATCCACATCGATTTTATTACTACAAACAAAATATGTTCTGATGTAAATAATCCTTCAGAATTTTTCTTTAAAATCTTACTTTTCATTAAAAGTTTATAATTGTCAATGATCAAATACTTATAATTACAAACAAAAGTTGTTGAGTAGAATGTTTCTAGTTAAAATCCTATACTACCAGCATTTCTCCCTTTTATAAAATTGATAGGGAATATCTCTTGAAATTAAGCCCAGTACAGATAACTCATGCACTACAAATGTTGCAAAAAATTTATGAATTTTTTATGTTTAATATTTTTAAAATCATACTGCAGTCAGGAATTCAACCAAATTGCAAATACCATGTATATGATCAATTACTTTTTTCATTCCAGTATTTGTTAATTTATTTTTACCTTTGGAATAAAAAGAATACAAAGCACCAATGTTGTTGTGAACACACATACAATTGACGTGAAGACATATTTTGCCGTTGGTTTCTCTGGTGGCAGAACGAAAGTCACGGGCACACACAGGGCACACACTACCACAATGTTATACACACAAAAGCCGATGTACTTGGAATCATTTAGAGATGGGACTTTAATGTGTCGTGTCTCCCAGGCTAGAAAGGTACCCAGGGCTAGTAATGCACCCTTACTAATGTATTGGGCTGATAACCAGTATGACTGGAACTCGTTGTAGCAGACATGGAAAGTTTCGACCAGTATGGTATCTGAATCTTTCAGCTGAAAAAGCACATCTTCCTGTAAATCTGCACAATCTTAGGTGGTCAATTTTTTTTAAGTATTTAATATAAATTGCTAGTTACAATATGCCTTAAGTTTATTCCTTTAAAATCATAAAATAAAATCAAGATTTTACAAATCATTTAGCCACTGCTCAGGAAAAAAAATTCAATTAATAAATCTAATGCTGTTAATGCTGAGATTTTTTATTATCGGAATCTCTTTAAATTATTTATCAACCTCCTCTACCAATTTAATCTCTTTTGGGTTGAAGTTGCCTGCTTCCCGACTTTCGCCTGTCTATTTATAGCATGCTACTAGTATATTTTGACTGATTGAAACAACAATCTAACAAACGTATATTATTCCTTTATTAAAAATTAAAATCAATTCGCTTGAGAACCTTGTAAGATAAGGAAAACCCATGTTCCAAGATTCAAATTTAATATTTCGTAATATTTTCGATCCTAAAGAAAATGAACGATGACAAAGGATATTTTATACATCATGAAAATCCTTCATTACATAATTTGTATGGTTTCTTTCGAATCATAGCCCCTTGACATTAAGAGTCCAAATATGCAATAAGTAATATCGAGGAAAATCTATTTACTAAACTATATCTTTTTTTCAGAATCATATAAAACATCTTTAGAAATTAAAAACAAAATCACAAGGAATTCTTTGAAATAAGAAAAGACATTTATTTTAAATACCTCTACTTCGACATTCTTCTCCAGTAATCGTAATGGATGGAGTATGGTCCAAAGTGTGAGAAAAAGAATGTCGAGCAGAACCAAAACTCCCAGCAGACCAAATAAGTGAGCGTCCTTGATCGTCTGCTGCTCTCAAAATAAAATGGCTAATAGATAGTTTCGAAAGATGTGAATTTATCAAGAGTTATTTCCCCTTGGCCGCCATATTGGAGGCTAACATGCTCATATTCCTTCATTATTTAACCATTTTTTTACTTGTCATACTGACCTTCATGGTGTACATAACATCGTTTTTCTGAAGAATATACCTTTTTAAAGCCCCCCTTTGGTCAAAATTTTCATTTTATAAAGATATTTCTGCTACACATGTTTTCGTAGGACAAAGAAGAAAAATCAACAGGTTGATCTCCAAGATGGCAGCCAAGGGAAAAACTCAGAGGGGAAAATCCGTCATACAAAAATTATCTACATTAAAGACATGGTTTGACTTAGGCATATTAAAGCATGCAATGTCTACGATCTATGAATATTGCAAATTTATTGTGAAAAATGTAATTATCATTGCCCTGTAGTTTTTTTTTTTTCAGAACTAATTTTACTATATTTACTGTTCTATAATTGATCAAATGTTTTTGCAAACTCAGATCTTTGGTAAAATATGAAGATATCGAACAGTAATCATGCTCAAAAGTTCAATGAAACAATAAAAAATGTGAGCAGAGCAAATACGGACCTCTGAAAACATCAGATATGGAATCAGGTGCCGTGGAGGAGTAAGCATCCCCTGTCAACTGATCACACCCTCTTTGTACCCTTTGTCAAGATCGGGTAAACGAAGAGATCGGTAGTTACTAGTAATTCGGTATAAAAAAAATGGCCTAGTAATTTGTATAAAAGATGTCAGTCAACAATCAACCCAACGACAAAAATGGCCTAGTAAAAAAAAAAAATGGCCTAGTAATTTGTATAAAAGATGTCAGTCAACAATCAACCCAACGACAGATTATATTTTCATCAAGGTCATTGCATCAACCATAGAATTTGCGAGAAGATGACTTTGAACGAATTTTAGATACCCTTTCATCATCCACTTGTTTGACAGTAGCCTGCCTCGTTTTAAAATTTGTTTGTTCAAAGAACATGCCCTTGACAATCGAATCGACTGGGAGATATAAATCCCATATGCAGGAGATAATGGTTTATTGCTACATACATTGGGGAAGTTGACGATAGAAAAGTTGAAGTCATCACGTTTATCATGAAGTGTCACTTTAAGTATGCTAACAGTGTCTTTCTCTTGTAAAATATCCAAATACGAAACAGATGTGTCAGACCCCGTGGTGTCTTTTATTTCGAGTTCAGTGGGATACATGTGTATATCGAATCAACGTAAGAATGTAATTAGGTATAGTGAAATCTGTCTAATCCGACAGGCACTGGGAGACAAAATTTGCAGTGGAATAGATAGGTTGTCAGATTGCACAGTGTACAAAACATAGAAAACAGTAAAATGGCAATATAAATAAGGGTCGGAAATCACTGTGAAACGGATTGCACAGGCATCGGATTAGTCAATTTTTTTTGCATTGTTAAAAGATAAAACATCATCCACATAACTTACTAAATGTCGAACTGAAGGCAAAAGCAAGACAAGTTTTTGAATAAAGTCTGCTTCATACGAATACAAAAGCAGGTCTGCTAATAAGGAGGCACAATTAGTACCATGGAAATTCCAACCAACTGTTGGAAAACCTGGTCTCCAAAGACTGTACATGTACATAAATATTGTCGGTGAAGAACTCGCACATCTTTCTAACATCAACTTCAGAGTAACTGTGTGTAAAATCAGATTGGTTTTTAGTAAAGTAAGTTTGTAGATGACCAATGACAAGACAAGAAAATTTTCGAATCCCCTTCATATTAAAAATGCAGTTAACTATGATGTCAAAAAGCGCGTTCTTTAAGAATGGTTGTATAAAGAGTTGAAAAGCCATACATTTCAAATGATGCTATTTGTTTTGGCAAAATTTTGTTATTTCAAATGTTTTAAAAGGTCTTTGGAGATTCTAAGTATCCACATTTGATAAGCATCACTTCTCGAATACTAGTATGTTGTTTCTCAGTTCTGCTGAAAATTCTCCTTCAATGCTGTTAGTAGTATTTTCGTGAGGAGTAAAGAAAGAGGCTTGGTAGAACGTTTGCTAGATCCCGCGATGTGTCTTTGTTTGTGGGGATTTTTATGAAGCGTTGGAATCCTATATAGGTATGGTACTTCAAACTTAATTTGGTTGTTGGGAGTATTGAAAATACCTCTTCCTCTAAAATTGTAATAATGATCCTTACAAAGAAAGACTATGTTGCTACCAGCTTTCTCAGCTGAGTCTAGTACATACTGATCATGTAATCGAGCTGATTTGTCGGTCCCTTCTGATTTACTGAATACAGAAGGATAGATGGTTCTCATATTGTCCTCAATCGTTTAACACACGAGTTTAACATCCACTGTATACTTTTTATCCATTCTGACAAAGTGTTCAGGTCTTCGTCTTTGAATTGAACCTATTGTTTGGCATAAACTTTGACAGAATTCATAATACTTATACAATAAAGTTGGGGTTCCCTAATTTTTTCTCTTTTAGAATGAGTGATTAAATGTCCACATTGTTATCTACTCAAGTATTTACATCACCAATAAAGACATGTTCAGTTGGACTATAGTTGTAGGGAGAGGAACACGAGGATTTTGTTCAGATGATCTAGCTATAGGCACTGTAGAGGTTTTCTTTTTCTAATTAAAAAGTTTGGAAGGAATAGTCGAAAGATATTTGTAAGGAATATAAGGTGTGGATGTCAACTGAAGTATAGTGGAATACAGGAACGGATTCTATGATTAAGGATATTACTAATGTTTTGTGCGTCGATTCCTTTGTTGACAAATTTAAGCAACAGGGGGTTACTTTCTCTTTCTCGTTATTTAGCCCCTAAGACGATTAAAATTCTTCAGGATAAAGAACATTGTGAGATAACTGTTTAAAAGAGTGATAGACTGGCATTATATTATTTTCAAAAAGTTGAAATGAAACTAAATGAATGTAAAATATCGTGGATTAGGATTACTGTTAAGCTGTAATAAATGATGATGCAGGAGAACTACTACGAGTTACGTGTTTGATCATGAAAAATTACATAATTATAGTTCTGTCAATGATTTTTCTTAAGAAACTAAAGGAGAATGAATTTGAAGGTTCTAATTGAAGAAACAAATGAATAGCACAATATACGTAAAATGTTTTCCGACTTAAATGCATAAAAATTTGCAACTTCTTGCATTCTTTCGACTGTTAAGTATTAATCAAAGCACTTTTTTTTACAAAGAAAACATATTTATTAACCAATACATAACGTCCTATTGTTCTAATCATCATGAAGATTAAAAGGATAAAATAAATAGGAACCATCATTTACCGCAAACGGTTGTATTTGGTGCATCTTAGGGACACACCTCTTTATCTTTAACCTATCTTCACGGATAAAAAGTATAAAATTTGCACATGAATTTTTTTTTCAAATTTTCTCAAGAACAGAAGTCTAAAACGACAATTCAGTAAAGTGGCACAATAATAGATTCTATTGAAATATGAGCAGTTTCTCAATAAACATAACCTTTTTAAAACATTATAATTGCCATATAACCTTACCTTCTTTATCATACCCTGTGTGAACAAAATATGAACTCTAAAGGTTTTTGAAAACAGAGCTCCAAAGCCAACTGTAAAACCGATGGAGATAATCCAAACGTTAAGCTGTGAATGTATAAAACATGCTGATGATAATGGTAATAGTGAAATCTTCCTTGTACGTACATGCATATAAAGGAGGGATTCTTCTCATATTTATTGCATTTAAAATTTAACAGACTCAAAGACAGTATTACTAAGTGATGGAATCAATTAGATTAAAATTGGCTGTCAGGTTCATTATCATTTTTCCTTGATATTAAGAAATAAAAAAAAATACTGTTGCCAATCAATGGTGTTGCCTACTTCTACTTCCAAAATTAAATGTTTGTCTTTTTGCATTAAAAATGATACCATATAAGCTCTATCAGATAACACAACAAAATGAATTATCAAATTAACTAAAAAAGGTATTGGCGTACCCGAATTTCCTCTATTTTTTTAATTTAGGTAATATTAGTTATTTTGATATGCTTTGTATATTCAAAGTTTTCTTATTTTCACATATGGTGAAGTAGTCATATAAAGATACAAAATGAAACAAAAACAAAGTTCTGATAAGAGAGAAAAAACCTTTTTACTAAATTTTTGTTCAAATCTGTTCTTGGATTGAAAACTTTCGAAATCTAACAAGATTGTTGTTTGTTTTGAAAATCATATTTATTTGATAAAGTTAAAAACTTAAGTCCGTAATAACTTCTTTCAGCTACTTCAGAAAATTCCTTTAAGCCTTTGATTGTTTAAAAGATGTTGACTATATTTTTCTGCAGTCATTTTGAGAGGCAGAAAAGGAGATATGTATTTATTTCGCTCCACGAAAACTATATTCCCTGCTAGATTTTCAAACTCATTTTATCATATTCTATTTAAAGTTGTGCAATGAAGAGAAGAAAAGAAAAATACATTTATGATCTATAATTTTACATCCCTAACACCTAAATATAAAAAGGTAAATAAGCAAATATAATTTGAACATTTGATTTAGTCAGAAACCAGACAAGAATCCCTCCTTAAAAGTGTTTCATTGATAATTTTCATATCTAACTTCATAAAATTGATAAATTGCAACAAGAATTGTACGATGCACTGTTAATCACTTTTGGGGAGAATGTTATTTCGTGTCATAAAGCCGAGCTGTCTGATGGCAAACATTTCAATATATCTCGCGTATATTTGTAAGATTATACGTTTGTAACAGTAACCAAAATCCATGAAAAAAATTTCGCTTATAAATAGCAAATTAGATATAATGCGAAAAAGGGTGTTGCAAATTTTTTTCAATATACAGTTTTGATATTTTTGCATTTATTTCGTATCAATGTATAAAATGTCAATTTTACCAGACGTAATACTATGCAAAAAAAATAATCGTTTGAAGACTTTTTATTAAATTTGATTTTCTTAGAAAATATATACCCACAGATTATATATTTTACCATGCAGATGTGTTGGTTCAGACATGGTAGGGACACGGAGTAATCTACAGACATAATTATCACTGCCATGTAAATCAACAATCCACCTCCAATTATAGTGTTGTTTATCCGTGGACTAGACATCTTGATATTTCTATAAAGAAATGAAAAATTTAAATACAGATGAGATACAAATAAAATGCTAATAAATATTAAATTTTAAATCATATGATGCTTTGTACTAATTAAAAACTTTGTATGTTTGATTTAATTTTATAATTACGAGCAACAGTTTTAGAATTCTCTATAAAAATATTGAAGAATATTGAAAATCATTTGCTCTATGCCATATGTTGACTATATATGAAGCACAGTGTTTTGAATATTGAAAATTGTTAAGTACTCAACGAATCTTCATACTTATTAAAATGACACCATAAAAGAAAGATTTATTTTTGAATAACTTTATCAGACATATGTACAGTGTTAATTTTCCATCAGAATGAACGTAAACACTGTCATTTAATAATTTAAATCCATGGATCTAATGTTTGGAATCAATAATTTAATGATTTTCTGTTAAAATGCTAGTAATCTTGATATCAAAGTACATATTTTAATACTTGCAAAAATAGACATTTTTAACACAAGAACGCTTTGAGTCACAATAGAGAAACTAGATGATAGCTTAAGGTTTCTATGTAAAATGTTCCTGTAAAGTCTCTTCTCCTAAATATTTGCAGACTATTATTCGTTAAAGATCCTGAGTTTAAATTTCACTCAACTTTAACTTTAATCAATGGTAATATGTACTTGTTTTTCCTGTAGTGGACATTGAAAAATAAGAATCCCAGAGCTACTGCTACACCTGTCACTATCAGTAGTCCTACTATAGAGAGCCCTATGTACGATTGCTGGAATCGTCTTTTGATGTACTGGAAACTGTCCCTTGGAATAACACCCCCTAGCAAGTATAATACAATTATAATTAAAAATCTTCTTGGTAAGAAAAATGTGTAATGCGATAAATTAGAAAAAAATAATAGACTCTTGTCGTCATGTTATACTTCTTAGATGTATTGTCGAGAAAGGGCTTCAAGAGGCGATTTTTACCTTGAAATAAAGAATGTGGAGTTCTCCACCATTCAATTGAGCTGTTCGACGGTTCATACACAGCTACGTCATTTCTATCCTCTGTAATTAAAAAAAACGTCGTTTTTGAGTATTATTTCAATTTAATTCACCTTAACATTAAAAAATTACCAGCCCCGTGGACCACAAGGATCAGAAAAATTACCTTGAACCTTTGGGTTAAGTAAGCTAATAAGTGTACAAACCGTGATTTATATGGATAAATGCTGGACCAACTCGTCTGCCATTGTTGAATGAAACTGCGCCCTAAATGATATATAGCCATATACACTATTATTTCAAATAGAAATGTACTTAGGATTGTAGATATTAAAAAATTGTCCCAGAAAGCATATCAGTAAGGTTAAAAGTATACAACTTCAGGAAAAATAAATATTAATCCATTTCATGCAAATTTTGAAAATTTGGTTTAAGCTTTTTTAGAGCTCATAGTTCATTAAATATATAAAGACCTGGGGGAGTATCGAAACATTGTTATAAAAATGATCGGAATAATACAGTATTCCTCATGTATACCGATACACCTTGGAAGAACACTTCACTCATCCCTCGTTGAATAGCATCATAAATATCTGAGCGATCGTAAGAAAAGTCCTCTAGTTTATTGATCCCAATATACTTCATACTATTGTTAAGCCCCACAGCCAGTGCCCACGCGGCATCGTATGCCCAGGGGCTGTATTTAGACAGGAGATGGGTGCTAGGGTCGTACTGAGAAGAGATATTCTTCATCCACGTATTGTATTCCTCCGCAGTCTGAGAATTTAAACATGAATGAATCAACTGATAAGAGTTTACAAATGTTTCCGAAAGGGCATAATTATAGACATGTATTTGCGATGTTCCTTTTGTATTATAGCTCTTATCTGGATTTTTTCTATCCAAATCGTGTAAACAACAGTGTAAGAATTAACAGACGTGTTAAATTTTCTCGCTGATATCCTACTATTTACAAGAGAATAGAATTCCAACAACAACTTACTTGACCAGATATCGTTACAACATGATCTGTTCGGAGTTGCTTTTGTCCAAGAGTAAAATGGCCGTAAGCAGCATCTTTAATGTTCTGGAGAGAACAACCTGGTGCATCTCCCGGTTCTAATCTGTCCAGCCACCCTGAGTAAAGGGAGTCGGTCAATATCCACACATACTTCTTACCATACATTTTTTGTTTGTAAATCTGAAAATAAAGTTAGTTTTCAAAAAAATAAAATAAAATCAAGTGCTGTTGCTGTCCTGGTTCTTTATTGTGTCAGATACTTGACTATCCAGCGTGCGTCAGAGTTAGGCTTACATTTTTTTTTTTAATTTCCAATGTCGAACACTCCATTTGCTAACATGTCGAACAGCTGAGGTAAAATTGAATAGTTCTGCGTCAATGAATTTACCTCGTACTGTACTTTTTATTTGTCAAAATATTTTTGCCAAAATGATGATTGTTTGCAACAGGGGAGATACCATTGCCAATTTTATTGTTCTTTGTACTAAGGAAATATCCCGGTGATCTCCCCTTAACTTTATTTATGTTATATACATATTGTCATTTAATAAATGACAATTCTCACTCAATATACTTTGTCTTTGTTATGTTTTAACTACAACTTATGCGGTAGCCTAGCCAGATCACTAGGATTACATAATACAGCATTATTGTAAATAATAGCCTTTATGTAATATGTGATGTATAGAAGTTTCTTTGTTTGTTTGAGTCTTATTGTATTATTAGCATTCCCCTTGGGGAAAAAGTTTTTATCATCCAATCATAGTCCTTACTCAAATCACGTGACATAAGATAGCGTCTTTTCACTGATTTAGAAGTGTAAACAAGTTAACAGAATTGTTTTGAGAAATTTACCCACCCTCCGTCCCCCTTCCTACTCCATCATTAAAACAACTTTACTCTATTTATCTTTGTTATTTGATTATTATGTTCTTTGTGCTTGTGCAATCTTACTTGCCATGTGGCAGCTTTTTGTTTTGACAACTTTGTAATTTATGTACTTTTTATTTGTCAAAATATTTTTGCCAAAATGATGATTGTTTGCAACAGGGGAGATACCATTGCCAATTTTATTGTTCTTTGTACTAAGGAAATATCCCGGTGATCTCCCCTTAACTTTATTTATGTTATATACTTATTGTCATTTAATAAATGACAATTCTCACGCAATATACTTTGTCTTTGTTATGTTTTAACTACAACTTATGCGGTAGCCTAGCCAGATCACTAGGATTACATAAATGAATTTACCTCGTACTGTCCCTTAGGTTTGGCTTATAATTAACTAACCTTAGAATTCACTAATATTTTCAATTTTGGAATCGTTGTACATCGTCTGATATATTTTCAAATATATATAATAAAAACTTTTTTATACAACGTACAACGCAGATTTTTAATGTACGAGGAGTTGTGAAGAAGTTCGACTGATGCAAAAAAATTAATACTATATTTAAATGCTACAACATGTATTTCTTGAACAGTGGATTTCAAAACAATCCAATACCAGTATATAAAAAAAATGATCCTTACTTGAGTGTATCAGCATATTTTGCCTCTCTACGGCCTGTTCAAAAAGTTTCAGTCAATGCAAGTTTTTTTAGTGAAACTTCACAAAGAATACCCACCCCTTTGCCAAGCTTCAGCGTCATTTTAACTCCTTAGTTTTTTTAGTAGTATTTGTGATAATATTTCATAGAACAGACAAATGGGGTTAAAATCATAAATTTTAAAGAATAATTTTGTCACGTCACATTAATGAATCAACGTGAACATTTGATGACAAAATTATTGCTTGTATCAAAGGAGTCTCGACTCAAGGCAAAAAAGCGTATTTTGAGGTTGTGCCGCTTGGGCATACCATTGTTTACGAAATCACTGACAATTTATTTAATGAAAAAATAATTTCTCATAGTTCATTCTTTACACAGAAAGGTGATTTTGAATAAATCAAATGTGTAATATTTCGTCGGTATATCTTCAGCGCTTTTAATTTTATGGCGCCAGTCCACGAACATTTTGAGAACCCTCCGCACTAGTATTATTTTATAATAAAAGGAATCTTCGAGCATTGTCTTAATTTTTTAAAAAATATAATAAAGAATTATATATACAATGCTGATTTCGAATATTAAAATGAACAAGTGTCAGAGGGATATGAAGTTGAAGGGTTTGATAGATTAAATCATTAACGTCTTCGAAAAGGAATTACATGTAAATATTAGATGATGCGTAAAGGGTGTTAAGAAAGTTTGTTCAATAATGAAAATTTTTGTAAATTTCAAAGTAGAGCTTAACTGAAGAGATTACTTTCGGTAATTTTCGGAGACAATATCACAAGATTGTGCTTTCGATTTATAGCAATTTAATATCAGCAGGAAGTTATAGGGTTTTTTCCATATGAATATTTGTAAACATCTTTAAAACACCCAAATGACAGAACTGCTTGTCATTTTGTGTGAAAATGTGAATAATTTATTTTTGTTTCCTCACAGCTTATCTTACGTCATACAGAACTGATGAGCTTAGGTAAAACTAAAAAAAAAGATCATCCACCTTTTCAAAACAATATATATATAGGTTTGTCGTATTGGAATTCTAAAACAGACCACAGGCACTTGGTATGGACCCCCCCTTTCCCATTTTTTTTCTTTTTAAATCGGGGGTAGAGTCACCTTTTTCCTATTTTTGTATTCTAATATGCACTGTATGTCATCAATAATGTAACTCTTTTGTCTCTATAAGCTGTTTTTAAATATATCGTTTTCGACTGATACATAAAAAAGAGAGAAGGCTTGCAACTCTTTTCTCATCGTCTGCCTCACCTCGCTTAAACTTCGCCTGATTATTTATCGAAAGAATAAGAAAACATGGAATATGCATACATCAATAAATTCGTTATACATTCTTCTTCCTTTTCATATTTCCATTTAATTTTTATGTGCCCCCGATTTGTAAATATTTCGATTAAATCACCTGCATCTAGGGTAAATTTTGTTGATGTGCACCAGCTGGGACGGAAGTGCCCGGTATTTTCGGGTATCATCATTACGTGTAATGTCATTCGGAACATTAAATGCAAAAAGGAATAAATCCCGAATTTTCTCTTCATATAACATGTAACGGTAAGTTCTGTGAATAACAAGATAACTTTAACTAGCAAATTCTAATGGATGAAGATTAACTTTTAAGAGACGACCTGACCTAGACAACCAAATTTCATAATATTGTTATTGCAAAGCCTGGAATTTTTTTTAATGCAGAACATTTATAAAGTTAGAGTTACCGTTATTGCACTTCCGTCCCAGCTGGTGCAAATCAACAAAATTTACCCTAGATGCGGGTGATTTAATCGAAATATTTATAAATCGGGGGCACATAAAAATTAAATGGAAATATGAAAAGGAAGAAGAATGTATAACGAACTCATTGATGTATGCATATTCCATGTTTTCTTATTCTTTCGATAAATAATCAGGCGAAGTTTATAAGCGAGGTGAGGCAGACGATGAGAAAAGAGTTGCAAGCCTTCTCTCTTTTTAATGTATCAGTCGAAAACGATATATTTAAAAACAGCTTATAGAGACAAAAGAGTTACATTATTGATAACATACAGTGCATATTAGAATACAAAAATAGGAAAAAGGTGACTCTACCCCCGATTTAAAAGGAAAAAAAATGGAAAAGGGTGGGGGGGGGGTCCATACCCCAAGTGCCTGTGAGCTACTTGAAGGAAAATTTGACCTGTGTGCTTAAGATATTTCACAAATATGCTGCATCCCTGACTTTTCTGCATAGACATCATCTGTTTCAATCTCCTGTCCTCCACTTTTCGTTTCAACAAATCACACATTAAAACCTCATCAGTGGCAAGAATGGACTCAGTGAACATGCAATAGCACAAATTTTAATCAGATTCTTCTCATTGTATTTTTTTTTTTTCGAGAATGGAAGAAAAATATGAAATGAACTTTCCTAACTCCCATTACATGCAGTACAAGAGCATCTGGTTGAATTGTTTAATTAGATTCAATTTTTTGTTTACGTGGTTTTTGCTTGTACTATATGGTTTGTGTAGTTTTCTAGTTTTTGTATGGCTTGCGAGTTTACTTGTTTATTAAGATCTACAACTTACCTCGCAGAAAATCTCAGGTGCTTTTGTTGATCTGAAGGCCCCAATTATAATTCGAGCCCCATATTGCTGCAATGAAAACGGAATCAAATCAATTTACACCATTATATGAAGCACAAACTTGGTTCTCTCTCTCTCTCTCTCTCCCTCTCTCTCTCTCTCTCTCTCGCTGGATGATCATGCACTCTTTCAACCAATGTGATCAAGGTAACCAAAGGTTACGTATATCCATGCTTACTTTTACCAGATGGATTCTTGTGTTTTTGTTTTGACTTTCTTCTGGCAAATAATATGAAAATGTTATTGTATATTTCAATAAATTTTGTTCAAATCGAATTCCTTTAATTGAAAGTACGTTACAATTCAATAAAATACCGACTTCGTTTAGCTCAGAACCTGACGTTTTTATATTTAAGAAGATTTTATCTTTTCCATCTTAGAAGTATATTCTGTCTTGGGAACAGTTGCTACCTATTTTTTTTTTTTTATCGACTTAGGTCTGTCGCGGCAAGGGCGCGTCCGAACAAGCAGCTAGCGCTCTACTGACTCATCTACAGGGACGATAAAAGTCTCTGACAAGACTGTAGCCCACCGGTTTGTATCTAAAGTACAGGAAGAGAAAAGTAATAGGACCTGGACTTGAAACTGTGTAGCTATGGCAACATTGATAAATAGAACTTCTGGTCTCGCTTAAGTTTAATTATGTATCAGGGTTTCTTTTTTTTTTTTTTTTTACCTCGATTAAAACTGTAAGAGTAGCATTTTGAAAGAATAACACACATTATTCTTTTTCTGAAAACCTTTAAAACCCTCTTCGTCGAAATTAAAATCCGATGTACATTATTGTAAATCTTGGTGTAGTATAACTGTGTTCCAAGCAGGGATAGACATTAACTTTCAGATTCACTTGCCCTTCGGGCAAGTGATCTCAAACTTTGACTTGTCCGAATGGAAAACTTGGTTGCCCAAAATTAGGATAGAAGTTAAGAAAAAAATTATTAATTACTGTAAATGTTATGGAAAGAAAAAAAAATGTGACGAAATACACTACTGTCAATTTGGCATTTTGAGATACCTGAAAAAAATTGTACAAAAACGTATATCGCTGTAAATATAACCTGTTAACACACACTGCCATACAGCAATAACCCTCCGTTTCCTTTTAATAAAATTCATATTTTTGAAAATTATTTGCGGTAGGATCATTTTGCGATTCGTGATTCTCAGAGATAACTGTGAAGCAACGCTGAAGGAAGATAGTTGCTACGAAACATACTTAGTACCTCTTATCTTGATCAGGATACATCGTGTTACAACGTACTTATATTCTGTGCGTGAATAAATAAATAAATAAATAAATAAATAAGAAGTTAACAAAATTTGTTAGACGTAGAGCGTATTTACTACGAAAGAAAATAACGAACTCGATTTTTTAAATGAACGGTATAATCCAGAAACGCTACCAAGAAATTTCGATTGAAAACATTGTCAGTCAGGTGTGTGGGGGGAATCAAGTGTTCAATCTATTGTTTTATTTATAAATTAATGTAAACTAAATATGTACATTTGTATGAGAAAAATTCACTTGCCCGATCGGACAAGTATGTCGACAATTTCACTTGCCCGAACTAAGAATTTACTTGTCCCGGGCAATCGGACAACCGTTAATGTCGATCCCTGCCAAGTTGTATTGAAATTGGACCAAAAATATTGGAAGAGAAGCCTCTACAGAATTTCACAGATTTTTTTAAACCTTGACAATACAGTTTGTCTAAATAAAAAAAAGGATGAACAGAATAACGTATGCATCTTATTGTAGTTTACTTGACAAAAAGTTTTATAGAAATCGGACCAAATCTGTAGGAGTAGATATTTAAAAAAAAAAAAAGACAGACAGACGGATAAAGGCATTTTTAGGTCTTCTGGTCTCTGACAAGAAGAGCTAAAAATCAAACTTTTTGGGGGGAAAGACAATATTAATTTTCCTTCCTAATTTAATGAGCTAAAACTGATGGGAGAAAAGACAGTGTGAAATAATACGAACCGTTTTGGTTTGTTATTTTACTTACTTTCAGTCTCTTTATGACCACATCAACGGTTTCCATGTCTGCAATGAGACCCGACGTCACCAACGTAATGTTTTCATCGTTCAGGAGTTTATGAAACTCATGCATTTGCTGAAAAAAAAAAACAAATATGTGACAGACCAAATGTTATCATATTCAAATAATTTTTTTACAATATTTAAAATGTATGGATGAGAAATTTTGCTTTGTTTTGTTATTGTTAAATGCAGACGAAAGAGATGGATACTGTGTATGAACAACTAATTTATGATGTGTGTAAATAGTAATTTGATAGAGCCTATTCTCTGAGTCATATTATCCCTGTACATTAACTTTCGTTGTATCAGACTAATAGAATATTTTTGTATTCCGAGAAATTTTAAAGCGAAATGAAATAATTGCAGTTGTATTTTAATCCAAGAAAACGTCGATATTATAACTCAATCTTCATTATAGGATGCTTATTTTTCTTTTGGAATTAATGGTTCTGAAATCTGAAAGACAGATTTTATTAACTGTATTGTCAGCTTAAACGTATTGAAGGGTTTCTTATCCTTCTAAGTCTGTTCTCTCGTTCTTTAGTGTAAAAATTGGACGCAAAACACTATAAATCCTGTCTCAAACGCTTGTGTATGTGTCATACAATAAGTTCGTTTACCATTTGTTTTTCATCAAGAAGATAACATAGCCAAATATGTTGCTGGAAAACTTCATCTAAAGAAATGTCAAAAAGCCATAAGAGCTATCAACAGCAATAAGAATGTTTAATCCCGCAGTGAGACATTTTTCAAAAGTTGAATATACGGTAATTAATTTTGATGGTTACCAATTTATAAACGTATATGTTGTGGGTCGTGACATTAGTTTCTTATAGGGTTCTTTCTTAGGTCATTTTGTGAAAATTTTCACATGGCTCCTCTCGTCCTACAGAAGTCAAATACTAAACATCGAATTTCATTCTACATGTTTATGAAAACTTTGTTTTTATCATATATTCTGAAAAAGAGAAAAATTATTTTCCAAAAAAAAAAACCTTACGTAAGTTTCCTTATCTTTCAGTTGAGGGTATGTTACGAAGCAATTACATATACATACTTAATTTTAATTTACCAAACGTTATCTATTAGGTGAGCTTAACATGGTCTAACTGGGTAAGCATGTGCAATGTATAAATTAATACATGGTAGCTGAGAAACAGGGCACGTGGTAACACGAGTTTCTGTGATGGTCTTTAAATGCGTTAGCATATACATGTATGATAAAGATATAATAATTTCTGTTGATAGAATACACATAATCTGTCATTAATCGAGCAAATGATGTTACATTTCAAATCAGGATACTAGAATGAGTATTAAATTTACGTCCTCCATCTTTTAATTATTCGAATCAATAACAGATTTCTTTAATATACGTCAGGGTTTGCTTATATTTCATTTATTTATAAACCACCTTCAAACCCGTTTAGTCTGCTGCATTGTACTTTCGATCAAATAAAAAAAGTCCCCATGAGAGTAAGGAACTCGGGGAAAATCATCAATATTAAAGATACATTTTACGTAAATAAAGCCCTTTGATTATCAAATCCATTTGATAATGGAGAAAGAGAGCAACAACACAGAGGTCTACGTCTGATTTATCGGGTAATTACTGAGTTCCCTCTGTTTATTTGATGATAATAATTTATATATGTATTTTATTTCAAAGCTATTAAACCTGACTATTTCTTTCTCTTCTCAGTTTTTCCAAAGAATTTAAGATTATTTTATCAAAGTTTTATATTTATTTCTAGTATTTCTTCTGATTATTCTTAAAAGTCATAATTTTGGTTGATGTCATTTTATATTTTGCCAGAGTCAGGCAGACAAAATGAATTTATATATATATATATAAAGCACATTTTACAACAACTCTTAAAGTAACATAACTGCCCTAAGTGAAGAAATATTAATATAGAAAGCACAAAGAAATTCACTTTTATAAGGATACCCACTTCCGCCCCAGCCCGGGGTTGAACTCTCGACCTACGGAATCTGTCTCCTAGCAGTACAGGAACAGCGCGCTAGACCGCTCGGCTATCTAGGCAAGTCAAAAAACTTGCTTTCGATGGCGATGGAATTCTCGCGGCGCTGCTCTACACTACAAGTTTTTTGACTTGCCTAGATAGCCGAGCGGTCTAGCGCGCTGTTCCTGTACTGCTAGGAGACAGATTCCGTAGGTCGAGAGTTCAACCCCGGGCTGGGGCGGAAGTGGGTATCCTTGTAAAAGAGAATTTCTTTGTGCTTTCTATATATATATATATATATATATATATATATATATATATATATATATATAATATATATATATATATATATATATATATATATATATATAATATATATATATATATATATATATATATATTAGGGATGGCAATTTGTAACCGGTTAACCGATTAATCGATCGGAACGATGGTAATCGGTTAAGAAATCTGTAATCGGTTAGTCGGAAAAAAAATGAAAATATATGTAAATTTCCTTAAAATTCAATTTGCAATTTAAAAAATCTATGAATGTTGATATATATTAGGCATAATTTATTAGGACTCTTCGGACTGAGGTAATTGGTCAATTCGTGAAGTGTTAATTGTTGTTTAAACATCAGGCCGTTCCCAGCTTGTCCCATATTTTTTAATGATAATAATTAAATCACCATTGAGTATTGTGAACTGATTACATTGTGTATCTTTTGAAGTTATCTGTCAAATTATATGTTATGCAAACATTATAAATTATTTAATAGTATAAAGAGGTTTGTTCCTGAGCTTTTGAGCGGATTTTGTCTTGACCTCTATTTTTAAAAAAATCTGCGTAATGTCTTAGTTCTTATAAATAAATTCTCAATACTTTTGATAGCAGGATTCAACCTCCTTTAACTTTGTTTTTGTTTATGGTGACAATGCAGAATGACCGTATGTAATGTTTTGGGGTCGTCAGAAACTTATCAATGTCCTTAGTGAATGTATCTCAATGATGTTTTATGGTTTTTCCTTTCGAAATTGAATAAAAATAGTAAAGTATACAGATGAACCATGAACAGAATATTATTAATGCCGTTTTCTATTTTTTTTTTATTAAAACATTAATTTATTGAGGGCGGGGGGGGGGGGTATGAATAGAATTAATTTTAAAAGACAGTGTCCGGAAATGTGCATTTTGTTACGATTAACCGGTTAATCGGTCGGAACGTCTTACGGTTAACCGATTGGCAATTCTGTATTCGATTGCCATCCCTAATATATATATATATATAATAGAGAGAGAAAGAGAGAGAGAGTTATTTCACTTTAAAAAGATAATGAAGAAGCACTTAAACACAAGATCAAGGAATTTCAAATTTTATGTTGTTAAATGCCATGAAGAATATTTACCGAAACAAATATCTCTTCATTGTAAAATAACGTTGCAACTTTGTTCCATTTGAAGTACTTGATCATGGCAAGGCGAGCTGGATTTAGGTCGTCCTCTATATAATTCGTCATGAACGTCGAAGAATACAAATTTCTATCTATCATGTTTGAAGTCTTTGCCAGAAATGACATCTGAAATACAAAGATAACAATTGCTCTATAATGTGATGAATTCATAGTGGAAAGGGGGAGGCTTAAGCGTTGAAAATACATAGGGAACAATTTTTGATCACCCAAACATAAATTTTGATTATGTTTCATGTTAGGAGTAAAAGTGTGTGTATAGGAGGGGAGGGGGCAAGCTTAAGCGATGGAAATACATAGGGAACATTTTTTGATCACCCAAACATAAATTTTGACTATGTTTCGAGTATAAAAGTTTATCTGCGAAATATCTCAAACTGGTTTATTGCTTTACAATAAGAAATGAGAATAAATTTATGTACAATACACCTACACATGTGTAGTAAAATCATAGAGAACTTCGTGAATGTAAAATTACTGAATCACATTTATTATACTTCTTAGCTAGCTATACTGATCAACATAACAGATGACTTGCAAGCAAATGACTGACTTTCAGTAAACTTACTAGCTTCTCACGACATCACAGTTGACTTTCGTAGCTACCGATCACTATTAACCAGATAACTCCACTTATATACATTGATAACAATCAACTTTTAGCTGAGTTAATAATCAATATTTCTGCTACTAATCAGTGTTTTCAGTTTACTTTTACTAATCAGTATTTTTTTTCCAGATTACTGAGTTTACTTTATACCAGTGATAGTTAAATTTTGGTGCGATCTGTCCGAAGATTTCGTATATTTGTCATTTTTTACTTACACTAGTCTGCTTACCTGTGTTAGATTAAACTTTGGTGTGATTTGTCCCACGATTTGGTATGGATCAGATTTTGGGGGACCGAAAATGGCAATCTTCACTGGCTGCTCATTAATGTGCTCAAATAAACATTGTGCAGCTAAACCTGGATCCGCCTATGAATAAAGTCATGATCATATTTGAACAAAATCCTGCTATATTACACTGTATAGATGAAAACAATCCCGAAAAGGGATAACATAAAACATTTTTGTTTTAACATGACATTCTGTGCAATTGAAATATCAGTTTGATTGATGCATAATTAGACAATCAAGCAGTTTTTTAAACATTAAACCGATGCATAAATGGATATTTCAATCCAAACTATTTGCAAAACATTTTTGCACTAATAGCCGAATTTAATTTTTAAAACAAAGCATTCGGAAAAAAGTACGATACCTTGAAGAGCTTCCATTTTAAATATTAAAAATAGATATAACATGTTATTCTTTCCCACTGTCGATTTATTTGGCTCGTTTCTACTTCCTTTTTTTATTCCTTAACAAATTAAATATAATCGAATAAAAAATGAAATGTGAAGATAACGAAGTTATCATGCTCAAAAGTTCATTTATTACTAATTGTGAGAAGAGCTATCATACACCTCTGAAAACATTCAATAGATCAGGTGCCATGAAGGTGTAAGCATCCCCTGTCCAGTGGTCACACCCGCTGTGTGCCTGTATTTATGATCGGGTTACATGTATCAGGAAAATCCGAGACAATTTAGTATGAAAATATTTGCCTACCATTTTGCATGAAGACATCAGTCAAATTTCAGACAATACGTGTATTTGTAAACAAGGTTATTGTATCGACCATTGAATTTGCAAAATGTTGACTTTGAACTAGATTATAGATACCCTTGTATCATCAACTTATTTGTGAGAAGCTGTAGAGTCGGTATAGTTGTTTTTGTTTCTTTTGAAAAGAGTAAAGTATAAGAACATTAGTGTGACTTTTTCAGTCAATTCATATTTCATGAAATTGATGAATTATCGCTGGTCATCCCTGAATAATTATGGTTCAAAAATATGGAAAATTTAAGATTAAAGTTTTTGAAAACTACGTCAAACACCAAGATGAAAGTCATGAGGTCAAAAATCATTTTATCAGAAAGTCTTGTTACAGATTATGCACAAGCGAGATATGAAAGCCTTTTCTTCTCTCATTCAAAAGTAATGACCAAGGTTAAAATTTTTGGAAATGTTGAAAATGTCAAACTTCACGGTCACAATGAAGTCAAAGGTCATATAGCATATTCGGAAAGGTTTTACCAAAGATAATGCACATACGGTATATGAAATCCAAGGTAAAACTCCAAGGTAAAGGTCATGAGGTCAAATGTCCGTTTACATTCGGAAAGGTCTCATCACAGGTAATTCAAGTGTGAAATACGAAAGCTCTGTATTCTCTTATTCAAAAGTTAATACCATAATTATTAATGTTTTTTGTGACAGACAAACGGACAGATAAGTGAGATTTAGAGTCTCTGCGCTTTCGCAAAAGCAGGGGACAAAAATTACATGTTAGACTTGATATGAAAACAAAATAACAATGTGCTAACGTGAAGATATTGCTTTATTGATAACCAAGCTTATAATGAAAACGGTGAGGATAACGAACACTGATCGATTTCAAATATATATAAATATAACCAATGCAAATCTGTGAACAAGGCATAAAACACGGGTCCCTAGAAATTCCAGTGGTGGGATCAGGTGCCTAGGAGAAGTAAGCATCCCCTGTCGATTGGTCACATCCGCCCTGAGCCCTGTGTATTGATCAGGTAGATGGAATATTCCGTAGTCAAATTTAACAAAAAGACAAAGGCCTAACAATTGGTATCAAATATGTCAGTCAAAATACGACCTAATGATAGGTGATTCTTGTTAACAAGATCATTATAACGACCATAGAATTTTCAAAATACTGACTTTAAACGAGTTTGTTGAAATCCCTGTAACATCAACTTATCTTTTAGTAGCCTGCCTCGGTTTAAAAATTGAACGTACTCAGATCATCCTCTTGGGTATTGAATAAGTTGGGAGACATAAACACCATATGCAGGTGATATTGGAATATTACTACATACATGTAAAAAAGAAAATCAAGGAAGAAAAAGCTTAAGTCATCTCGTTTGTCCTACAGTTTATTTGTTAGTTGACCATAATCCTTAGATATATATCCATATGTTATTAATTCCGTCAAAACCTGATTTAAGGAATAATCTTTTTTAATACAATATATATAATTTGCTTTATGTACATTTTTAGTAAACCCTGCATGTTCTGATTTACAACTAATACTCAACATAGAGAATATTAAAAATCCTTTATTGTCATCTTGTCATCAGCAGCGGATTCTCACTCCTCCATGGCTCCTGATTCCACCTCTGATGTTTTAGATGTTCGTGTTTGCTCTGCGCCTGATTTGTACTCGTATTGTTTGAATGGACTTTTGAGCTTGAATACTGTTCGTTATCTCCAGATTTCATTGAATAGAAAAGATTTCTAACTATATAGATGAGAGAACAATTTTATTCAAATTATGAATACCTTGTGAATTTTCAAGTTCATAGCTATACATGTATACATTGATTTTTTGTCGTAAACATCTTCGAGTTTGATTGTCTGTTAATTTAAACGGTAACCATCTCGTTTTACAGCATTATTTAACAATTATGAAATAAATTTAAAATTCTATTGAAATAAATTAGTAAATCGTTGATCAACTGGTTTAGTATTTCGTTTATTTTTACCCTCTATCATACTAATGATATCATGTCCAATATTTTTGTTTTTGTGCACAGACTCTACATAAATATACTTTAGAGAAAATTTATTTTATTATTTCATTTTACATTTAAGGAATTATTTATTCGAAGTTATATTTGAGCGGCAAATTATTCTCTTCTCTTCAATGTAACAGAGAGTATGCAAATGTTACAAAGTCATTATAAAATGATATAAATTAAATTTTGAGTTTAAAGAGTAAACTGCCACAACCCACTTTATGCTGTAAAAATTGGTTAGCTATTAAATTCATTCTTTATAGATTAGTTTTCATTCATTTAGTGTAAGTAAAAAAAGATGATTGCCCTAAAAATGACTTCATATTGTACGAAATTTAAATGTTACACCAGGCGGATCCATACGTTTTTGATGCAAGTCATTATAACCTAAGCACCACAATTTGTGCGGTCTAAAGTAAATATTTCATCCAATCAAATGGCGCGTTACAACCAGAATTAAACTATTCGAACAAAGAAACATAAAATATTGAAAATTTTTAAAAATCTGGTGAAAGATAACATACAGTACATAGATAACCTACTGAACGTGAAAATCCTCATTACCAAAACCAGGAAATTACTACCGAACTAAATTATTCCGAAAGAAAGCTATTGTTATGTTATCAAATGACGTCATGTACTAGTAAATAACAAAATGTCTGTAACAAAAAAAAATCATGCACTTGCCGATTACCCTGGCATAATTTGATGTAGTCGACTTTGATTTTCAGCACCATTTTGTGACATTTACATCAATAAGCATTTATGAATTATGTTGTTCGATCGAACCTTCGCTTTCGCCATTAACTATGCATTATAGAGTCATTTATTACCAAAAAGAATGCAATATAAATGTCATCATGTATTTAATGTAATTTTTTCAAAGAGAACTACTTATACAGTGTTTACAGGTCTCCAGATTTTGATTAGGCAATAAATATAGAATATATTCCAAATTCCTTGTTTCTCTTTAAATGCCAGTATATATAAATGCAACACAAGTATCCGGAGTAAAATGACATTGCCGTTTTATTTGAAATGTAGCTTTTGCATGAATAGCAATATCTTTGTTATACATTATTGTTGAAGATACACATGTAATAAAAGAGAATTTGTCAACACAAAATTTTAAACCATAAAAAATATTATAAGATCATGTCTTTTGTATACTTAATGAACGAAATAGTTCACTTGGCAGATATTAAAAGCACAAGTAATGGGATTTTAGCGCGTTGTTGCCTTAAAAGCTTATGATGTTTGTTAACCACGTACTATTTATCGATGAAACCTTTTTATTATGAAGATAAAAGGATTTCTGCAACAGACTCTTTCAATTATTTCATCAAGACACCAAGTTTCAATTTCTACCATCGTGATACTATAAAACAGACCAAAATTAGTTCTTCGATTCTTTTATAATCTTCCAACTCTAGGGACAATTAAAGCACTAAGACAAAATTTCCAATAATTTGTTTCTTAGAACTACTATATCTGTATATAGCTATATGCAAGTGTCCGGGCCGTTTTCGTGATTAGCTTTTAAAATCATCATTTGATATTGGATATATATTAAATATAAGACTGCGATTTCATCTCGCCATTTGTGTATAGCTTGCGCAAGTTTTCGAAATCAGCTAACCAACAGCTTTTTTATGCAAGCAAGTTTGACAGCTTTATCTTTAAACATATTCAAAGTTGTATATGCAGTATTTTAGTGAAATGACTAAAATGTGTACTTTCAGTTGTGTATAAAAATAGACCCACAGATAATTGCGGAGAGGAACCCCCCCCCCCATCATATTCACCCCAGGGCTTGTTGAACGTTTCATCACAAATCATATTTATTACACTTGCTTACATGTATCATATATACCATGCGAAATATGCATAATTATACAAAATGCGAACTATCTATCCTTCGGTTTTCCGTAGACCGAAAGTGATGGATTGATTGATCGTATGTTCTTTTGCGTCCCATTCGAGAATTTTTCACTCATATAGAGCTGGACTTCACGATATACCGGTGAAGGGCTTCAAATTTAGACCTTTACTCGGCACTTAGGGCCATTGAGCAGTGATGGTTCTTTATCGTGCCAATGCCTACCGTGACACGGGGCCTCGGTTTTTAAGGTCTCATCCGAAGGACCCGCAACTTTCACTTCAAAGTGCCGAGCGCTTGGCGAAGGAACAGTTGCTACCTATTTTTTTTTATCGACTTAGGTCAGTCACGGCCGTGATTCGAACACACAGCCTTCCGATCATGGAGCGAGCGCTCTATCGACTGAGCTACCGCGACTCTCAGAGGTGATAAAGGAATTA